AAAGCGCAACGGAATCGATCGACTTAACGAAAACGCAACGATATTGATTTAACAAATGAAAGCGCAACGGAATCGATCCACTTAACGAAAACGCAACGATATCGTTCCACCTAAACGAAAACGCAACGATATTGATTTAACAAATGAAAACTCATTGATGTCGATCTACCAGCGAAAATGCAATGATATCGTTCCATCTAACGAAGACGCAACGATATTGATTTAACAAACGAAAACTCAACGATGTCGATCTACCAGCGAAAACGCAAGCGATATCGTTCTACCTAACGAAAACGCAACAATGTCGATCTTTCTAACGAAAATCCAGCGATGTCGATCTACCGAACGCAAGCGCACCGATATTAATCTACTAAACGAAAACGCAACGGTATCAAGCTTCCAAAGCAAGACCGGTGCAGATACTTCCCACCATCCTGTGTCTTTAAGTGCACTTAAAGCAAGCCACAACGTTGATATTTATCGGGATGTCTTGAATCTTTACGTCTGAAAGGCACTTTATCATACCGCACTGTAATACGTTTTCATAGCGGTTTTTTACTCGCTAGAGAGAATTTCAGCGTGCCGTAAAAGAGTAATCCGCAGAATGTGCATAAAATGATAGAATATCGAAATAGTGATATGCAACTTAGTAGATAATCTATGAAACCTTTTAAGCGTGTTGAGAGAGTCTGCATTGCTTTGTATATTTATGTACCCAAATGAGGAATTCAGGTCTGTTGACTTGACTTGACCGTAATTCGCCGACAACTATGTGGATCTAGCATTAGATATTGACAAACCGATATAAGACGATTACGGTACTATATACGATTCTAAGGAACGGATATATTGATAGACAGGAAGACTTGTAAAATGGTAAACAGAACATTGAACACATTATTACCTTGCTGAGGACTGTGAGGGCATCCTACACTACTCACAACTGAACTAATACAAAATACAGTGCAAAGTCATAGAACAGCATCTTGCGTCATCGTGAGTCACGTGACGAGTCATCAAGCCGTCCACTCCATTTGGCCTTGCCTATTTTCCGGTAATAGATCTCTACATGCTACCTTTTGTAACTAATGGAGCTGCTGTAATAGGTCCTAGACATACAAGACCATTGTCGTTATTTATTTCGACTCGCCAGTCTTGTTCTAAAATTGTCTTCGCCTACATGCAAATGATTGGCTGTCGGCGCAGTTTTATTAGTAGGGCCACTGCAGTCTGTTTGCGTACATACACTCAAAAACCTGACATAACTATCTCTCGCAAAAATATAAGTAGAGTTTGTCTTTCTCTTATCTCAAGGAGACTCGTTATGCGTTAAAAGACAAAGTCAATCAAGGATTGGCCCAAGTCTAATTAAATATCAATTGGGAAACGCTTTCCTAAATCCATCTTCTAAAGGGTTTTTTACCAAGTCTTTTCTAGTCTTGATTGCTAGCATTGTCATTAACCGTCGCAATAACCAGTATTTTCAAATCGTAGAATCTACTGTTTGTTGAAACACTCAATAAAACGATGACTAGCATTTATTTATGAATGGAGGTACAACTTATTTCTCAGTTCATTTTGATGATTGAGGTTAAACGATTTCATTAAAAATGTTATCAGTGATTATTGCAGACTTCCTAATCCTTAACGATGTTTTCTTTCTGTTGTGTTTGAAAACATTCCAGTGCGGATTCAAAGTGTGTACTTCTTTTAATATCGATGTACTGTCCACTCTTCCCCTGGGAAACTTATGAAATAGTCAATTGAGACTTTATTGTTAGTCGATGGAAATCTGCGTTGTGAGAGTAAGGGAAGGAAAGTACAAGAAGATGGCATGATATACGAAGAGCGGCGCACGTAATAAATACATGATAGTGAATGCTGTTACATCAGATCTTCTGAAACGACTAAATGTAACCTGTTATCGCATCAAAATGGCTTTAACATCAAAAAAAGAGTTTTGAAAAGGACGATATCTGATGCCATCAATGTTGCGTCAAGATTTTTTTCAGCTGTGATTTGTCGGGAAAATGCCAGGTTCATTTTACTGACTCGAATCCCCTGCAGTGAAAAATCTGAGAAAATGATTAGGAGTTTGAGAGTCAAATATACTATTTCTTTGATGACAAACAATCAAAATTAAATCTAAATAAAGCGATATTAGTTGATGTTAAAATTTTTCAGTTTTATAGGCTGTACTACAGTCTTATAAATCGATGAATTCTGCTCGGCCCTTGAAAGAAAGTTTGTAGTCTATCTTCCTTCTTTTGAATGACTGTCGTTCAGTTTAAAACACTGGTTGCAAATAATGCGGGAAAACCTTTAGTTATAGTAGAGGTATCTATCATTACTGATATTGGTAACCAATCTTTTTCTTCTTTTTTAGTTTAAAGTATAATAAAAATGATCCTATTCTCTTGTTGTAATGAACCAAAAAGAGGTTCATCGTGTTAATATACTCACCAAGATCTTGTTACCAGTTTTGAAGGGTTTTAGAGGTGTCATCAATCATGGTCTTGAAGACAGTTACTAGTACTATCAAATACCTTGGTATCGTTGGCCAAACTAACAACTTTTCTTGTTATGTTTAGAAAGACCTTCCTCACCATGACATTAATAGATTTTCTGTTTTTTGTTGTGTTATCAACCCCTCCCCCCCCAGGGATCCACGACATCGATTTGCTCTTCGCGGTTTTGTTGACACTTCCAACCATCAATGTCGTGTGTTGTAGGACCCCTCCCCTCAGTGAATAATGCTACTTTGTGCTTCAGACCCCTCCCCTGTCAAGATGTGTGACGTTTCCTAGTCCATTAACGAAGCCATTAATAGTGTAAATGCGTCGGTAGACTTTCTTCTTAAGAGTTAAGGGACGGTTTTATCTTGAAAAAAGACGTTTATCTTTCCGCTGTTAAAAAGGATTCTTTTGTAATTTTACCCTGACTTTCATTCAGTTGATGACATGAATAGAATCTGAAAGCTGATAGATCAATGAAAGCAAAAGCTGAAAGCTATATACCTACATTGAGACTCTTTTCCTTGAGATTAAACTCCTGGAGTCAGCTATTACAATAATGACTAAGGTTAAAATGCCATTTGATTCATTTTTTTAACGGAAAAGTATGTGAGCAAATGACAATTCTATTTTAGGCACTGTACTTATCATTTTCACCATTTCAATTTCTTGCTATTATTGTGTGTTTTTTTGACATTTCTTGCATGCCTTATTGGACAAGCTATCAGTAAATATAGACTGAGTTTCCGATAGTGAGTGCTTTACACACGACTACAATTTATTATGTTTTAAAGCATATTAGTAAGTGTTCTAATTAAACAATTCATACGATAGTATTGTAGCAAGTGCTTTTAAGAACTACTCCAATAAGGCTGAAAACCTAGATTGGGTTATCTAAATGAAATATAAGATGGCACTTCAATGGTCTAAACTTGCAATGTTAGTTAAACAACAGTATGTTATGATAGTAATCATTGTTATTATCATGGTGCTGTAGGGACCACACCCAATGGTGTAATAAACTAGTACTGCTACAACAATACACATTGCACAAATCGTTCTTTTTGTTGTCTCAATCAAAAGCTTCGTTCTGATCGAGCCTGTCGCCTTGATAATCTTGCTAAAGGCGGCAAGTAACTAATAACTGTTTATACATAAAATATCTACTGAGATAACCCTGATGATTTTGAAATCTTAATTTGCGTTTATTTTATTGATGCTAAAAAAGTTCTTTTAGTGGTAAATTGACCGTAGTAGCTTACCCCAGGGCAGTGATAGTCTGGCTTATCGCAGAAGGATATTTTGCAAAGAATTACTTATTAAGTCTTATCTCCGTTTGTTTGCAACTATGAGTACTAAAATGAAGCTCGCAGTCAAATCTGTCATTGCTGTACTATTACGGAGTATCACTAAAGCAGTCGTCGAGATAACTTGCCAACAATCAAATGTGTTTGTTGATTTTTGGTCAGACAGATTCTAGCTGTACGACATTTGGAACCACCAAATACGTAATCTTCATCAAGCGTTAGATTAAGTGATCAAACGTTCGAGGAAGTGATCAAACGTTCGATAAAGGATCAATATTAAACTTTCGATGCAAAGCTAAGATCGTTTTCGAAAATGACGTGAAATGTTCGATGCAGGGATCAAACGCTCGACTGAAAGCGAGATTAAGATGACTGTAAAGGAATTATAGACGTTTATACAAACCTGCAACATAAGCGGGATAATCTTGTGGAGTGAATGACATTACTGACAGTGAATACCTTACATTGACCCATTTACTTACATATATATGATATTTGCTTATTTAACAAGAGGACATTGATGGTAACTGACTTTGATATTGTCATGTTATATTTTCCGTTCTACTCATTAGAAACAGGGTGTGAAATGTCTAGTACAGGATTCCAAAGAAAAGTAATCTTAAACATTGCTTACATGCTTTGATAAAACATGTTGTCAGTTTTAGTCCATTAATGGCAAATTCAAGTAAAAATTGTTTGAGTGGTTATTGCATGGCAGTGTCATGTCGTCATCTGACTAGACCTACCGACGCTTCATCCTTCTACTGCCCATGAAAAGTCCATCTACTATACAAGCCTGTCATAGTATTACACTTTCCTAAGCCGATCTGATTGATATTTGGGACGTTTCAAATTCTTTCCAATATTTTCTGTTAATTTTATCCTACAATTTGTACGACATAACTAGACTACAGACTGGCCCATACTGAGACTCTGTCGGGCTGAACCGAATAGGATATAATTGAAAAGAAAACAAATAGAAAATGAAAAAGAGTGAAGGGGAGCCGCAAAGGGAGAAAGAATGGGAAAGAGAATAAATGAATGAACTTTAGTGATTGGCTGAATGCAATGTCAAAAATAGTATCAAGTCACCAAATTAATACAGCTGCGAATCTAAAAAACTAGAAACGTATTTTGATGATGAATGTAAAAGGCTTGTATAAACTTAATAATAAGAATGTGAGATAATGAGCTGAATGTAGTGACAGCATTTCAAGTTATTACCGCCCGATAGTCCATGTGTAAATATCAAGTGTCAAAAAGAAGGAAATTAAAGTTTCAAGATTTTGTATAATGGTCATTATTTGTATGGCAGTAGGCGAGATCTCTCACAGTAAACACGTAATACGGACAGCTAATCCAATGACACTGTCTAAACTAGAGATGTGCCTTTCTGTAAAGATAGAGATCACATAAGTTCGTAGTATACATGAATATTACTAAGACAGTCAGCCAATCAAATCTCACTGTCTAAACTAAAGATGTTGTGACTTTTTGAGCAGCTGTCTTTCCGCAATTCAAGATTGATAGTGATCACACTTACTAAGATTCCATGAATACAGTAAAATCGCTTTTCTTTGTCCGTATCTGTTCTCGTAAATGCATGAAATTATATTGAATGACATCAAATTTGCTGCCGACGTCTTTTCAAAACGTGCACAACGTTGGAAATTTAGGCCCAACCTTCCATTCGGTCGAATGTGGATACTACGACATAGCTGTTATTGATCACCGATAGTTTTTTTTTTCAATGGTTGTTACAACATTTGTTATCAGAAGTAGTTTTTTTTGACACGCAAAAGTCTAACGTACTAATAGGAATAGTTGTTTAACCAAAATTTCTACTCTGTTAATCTCAAAATTTCTCCAGTTTAGTACATGGTATAGATTTTTTATACAACATATTGATTCCAGTACAACATAATTTGGTTATGCTTTCACAGTTTACGCACTAGAGCTCATTTTACTGGTGTTTTCATTTGTTCTTTCTTCTCATCTTTACCTGCAAAGCGACCCAATCACATATCTAACGATAGCCGCCGCTGCATTAGTGTGTATTCATACCTTACTGATGCCTGCAGTATTACTATTTCATACGAATATCATCATGAACTGTTTATTGATGTAAACACCAATACAGATGTTTACCGGACCAGACGGAAACCAAGCGACTTCGTACATGAATATTTCAAAGTTAATTTGGGCCAATTAAGGCAAACCGGGTACTTGGCGAATAGTAATTATTTGCATGGACTAATTTCACTCGATATTTTTTACAATATTTGTGTCATTCTTCGTTGCTTTAGTATATAATTCTGTAAAAGTTATTATGGTCCGCCTTATTCATTTGGCTCACTTAAATTGAGATTGATTCGTCTGTTTGTTTGCTTTATTGTAAAACATCTGCAAGTGACAATGGGCAACAAGAGTTTAAAAGAAAAAAATGAGGCGGTAGACAGATAGATTGATTCGCGCGCAACGACGAAAATATGGAAAGAATCAGTAGGAATAAGAAGGTGATTAACTGAATGAACACGGTTTCCTTGGCAAGCTGACAACTTCAAATAAAACGAAAGTTAATCGTTCTAGTATGTTTGGTAAAGCTTGAATCGTGAGAGTCATGTCCGGTGTTTTGACGTGCGAAGAAAGAAAACACCAAACCATTAATGAAACCCGACTTTATGTTCAGTGTATAGTATCACTTATTACAACATCCGCAACACAAACTACATACAATATATACATTCTGAACCCTGATTGGACAATTCACAAACAAATATCACCATTTATCCTATAAGTGAGGAATACAATATCTTGGATAGCCATAAAGTGCTTTTTACCCTATTGAATACTATTGATCGATTGACGTAATCTGTCTTTGTAGAATGTGCAAACATGAACGGCACACTGTCCATTTTGGTTCGTTGTTTACAGCTGAATAGATACAGATTGTCAAATGAATAAACATGTGGTCCTTGATGAAAGTCCTTAAAGACTAATGGAAAAAAAAAATCCAATAAATCTGCTCTACTTTTAAATTTCTTGGCCTAGTGAACAGGCCCTTTATGGCTCACTATCAAGGCAGTTCTTCGCGTCAAAGAAATAATCTAACCAGACTCGCTGTATGCAGGGCTTTCTCTGCTTATCATTTTGTATGATGATGCTCTGTCTGGAGAAATGAAACAGCGTGTAGTCATATAATGTTAATCAAAAGTTAGCTTTCAATAATTTGTTTTTTCAATCTGACAGAAGAACAAATTCTAATGAGCAACTTTTAAGCCGGAATTCAAGTCCCTCGAACATAACGATCTAAATTTTAATCTGAAAATAAAGAGTTTAAGTCAATTGGTTTAAAGGGGTTTCCTCAGTCTTGAATTCATTGGTTTGTTTACATGGAAGAATGAAACGAAGTTTATCCCGGATGGCTTGTCTTAAAGTCCTCTGGCCGATGCTATAAATGATGGGATTAAGCAAAGAACTCAGGACTCGTATGTTCATGATCACGTATTCAGCTACGACTGAGAGATGCTCAGCTGCTTGTAACAGATCTAACGAGAAATAGGGCAGCCATAGAATAGCATTAATGGCAAGCATCAAGACGCACATCACAACAGCACGCCGTTTGTTACTACGCATACGGTTCTCATGCGCGAGGCATTCACGGGTGAGATTGTTTTTTATGATCTTGCTGACTTGTTTGTTTAAGATAAAAAGCATATGACTGTCTAGGACGATGTTAACAATGAAAAGAACACAAAATAGACCCAGGCAAAAGTAGTTGAAGAGATTTTCTTCACTTTTGACCTCGTAATCCTCGGTGACGTTGACATCGAGTGCCCAGGACAGGCGAACAAGTGCAAGGAAAGAAATGACCAGCCATGACACAACTAGCACGATTATAACGTATCGCTTTCTTACGATTTCATAATAGCGAAGTGCTTGGACGATAAACATGTGCCAATCGATGGTGATCATGGAGATATGAACGATTGTGGAAATTGAAATAAATTTGATGAAGATGGCACTGGTGATACATACGCCAAGATTTAACGTTACTTGGCAAGTTACTATTAGTGGCACTGTTACTAGTCCAGTCAACAAATCTGACACTGCAAGACTCACAAGAATCATGTTGCTGGAAGTTTGAAGGGAACGCTTGCTCAGAATCACTCTTATAACAAATACATTTGTCAACAAGGACAGTAGGCCAATGATTAGAAGAGGTACGTCTGTAATGGCTTGAAATCCACCATGACGCAGGCCGTCATCGTACTTGGTTGTTTCATTGGTGTCTTCCATGTTGTCGTTCTGGCGCTGGGATCTGTCTTTACTGTGTAGCGGCTGAATGTACACAAGCCAAAGAAGCGGTAATGATTCTGTTAAGATCTCGTCTATCGGTATAAGAACTGTGCTGATTGCTCTCACATGTCTCAAGCAAATTGACAAAACTGCAAACACCTGTTTTGGAACTTTATAGGGGATCATGTGACGTAACATTGGATCTACGCATGCACGTCAATCAGCCAATGAGATGAAGCTTTTATTACGTACATGATGAGATTGATAAGATGTAGTTGTGACAAAGAAACGGTATATCCGTTTTGTAATACTTTTCAGTTTGTCCCCTTTCGCCTCTACAAAGTATGTTACTTCTGACTTTATTCAAAAGCCCATTTCATATCATGGAAGAGATATTTACCATGCAACCACACCTGCAACACTATACTAGTTGGATATTGCTCGTAAAAACTCGACTCTTTCAACTAACCGATTGAAATGTAAACTATTTGTCATAAAACGCCTTCCTCACTAACATCCTCAAGATCCTGCCACAGATAGCTTTTCCTCACAAACGTTTTTAAGTGTTTACACATCTACCGCCAGCCTTTCAAGGTGAAGGATGTCGGGTTTCGCAAACCTTTCAAGAGCACTGAAGTATCRTAATGAATGTTGGCTGTGATTTGCAAGAATGATAGACATAGAAAACGAAAGCTATTTCTGTAAAGATTGACATCATGAGATATAGCACCAATATRCGACGGATCGAACAAAAGGATGTCTTAGCCGCAAAAGACATTTCGTTTGTAATTGTCTATTTTTGCAATACGATTTTGGTTTGTTTTTCTCAGTTTTAGTTTTTTGCTCTCTACTAATGCACATTATCTCCAATCAACATTATTTTAGCCTTTTTTCTCTTTTGTCTTTTCTTATTCCCACTGATTATTTCTCGATTATGTTACAAGCATGTTTGCCGTGTTATATTGATTGAGAAGGTTTTATCATTTTCCATTTTTATTCCACATTCTGTTACTGTATTATTCCATCATGCTATATTGAAGTTTTTCTTGTTGAATGGTTTCTTTTTAGATAAAAATGCAATCATTAAAAACTGACGAAAGTGAGTCCTACTTGATGCTATGTAGCCTTTAACTCACCCTTCGCTCATTCATGTACACTTCTCGTTTTATAATAATCAAGATGTTTTATTATTGGAATATTATTACCATAACTAATGATTTACATCACGGTATCGCAGGCTCCAGACGCCTTCAAATGTGTTGGTTCAGTGCAGGTTATGTTTTTTTATTATCAAATCATTGTTATTATTAGAATATCATGACTCCAGGTGTTTGAGACGTATACTGTAAAAAGCCTCGTGTAGTTGTATCGCTTTACTCTAATGTATCCTATCGACTTCCTCCCTCCTCGAGTCAGGTAACAAATCCACCTTGAATGACTCAGTTCTGTCTTTGCTGGTATATTTTTTCATTTAACTAATCATTATTATTACTAATCAATAACAGAAAGGTTGACTATAATGAAAACAGAATTAATAATAGTTCGAGTTTCATTCACAAGTAAAATATATGTATCAGTTACATRATATATAAAGGAATATTCAGGAAAGACTGGATATCGAAAATAAGGAAGTCTAATGCAGATTAGTTAGAATGTTTGACTTGAGGGGCAACAACAGTTATGAAATGAATTCTAGAAATTTTCATCAGCAATATAGTTAGTGTTTATTTGGCTCCCTAACACACACAATCTTTGGATAAACTCAACTGTCTAAACTGTGCGAAACTGGACGAAAAGGGGTTATTGGTAGAGATAACAATCAACAAAATAAGGAAACTTCTCGTCAAAATATGATTCTAGAAAGACCCCTCCTCGTCTCATACAAGACCCCTCCACGTCAAAATATGATTCTAGAAAGACCCCTCCTCGTATCATACAAGACCCTTCCTCGTCAAAATATGATTCATAGCATGCTATACTCTTCATGAAACCTACCTTTTTACCATACCCCCCTCCTTGGTTCTTCAGTCTTTTCGCTGATGAAATTCTTATATGTTTTTATACCGTATTTCCCCGCTCTATCCAATATTCATGTAAAAAGTACAATGACCTGTAGTTTTGACGAAAGTTTACTTGCCTCATCAATATCGGGATATTAGACTGGTCTTTACCGGTTTCCTTTCTCAGTATTGTCCAGTTACAAGTACCATTTACAAAATGCCAAATGAAATGATCAATTTCACTTGTGTTTTTTTTAACGCTTTTGTTAGACAAGATAAAACACAGCAAAACACTCAAAGAAAACAAGAAACAAGTGCGTTTTGCTAAAAAATACAAGGCATCTCCTTCGTCTTACTTAAAATACAAATGTTTAATTATAAGCTATATTTTATCCTAATTCACTGCAAAATGTCATTTTGTCAAATAAAACTATTATTCTATTAATGTTACATAGAACGCCACGCCGATACTGTTATGGATATTAGTCACGTCCGGTGTTAGGGTCTTTTCCTTTGTTTGTCCTACCGTAACGCGGACTATGTCAAGTTCGAATATCGTGAAAATCTTCTAATAGGTGATATTTATATTGCGCATTTCTTTTAGTGATGGAACATTACAAAATAAGATGATATATCTTAATTTCATGGCTGCCGGTAACCTGTGCAAATGAATAGTCATGACCTCTAGTCGGGATAGATCCGTGCTTTGAGATAAGCAGCAAATCTTGTACGGATTATCGCCAATACTGTTAATTTGTAAACATTAAAGAGGATTTTTGCATTATTTTAAATCAATTATTTAGCGGTAAATCCACACAGACCTATTATTACATAATGAAACTAAAAAACAATAGATGCTAATGGAATAGWTCTCGGGTGACTCTTTGCAAATTGTGTTTTCTAGTAAAGCTGTAACGTGCCGTAATATTGATAATAAATGGTATCGCCGTTGGGCGTGGTCATGTCGGGTAGTCATTTGTTATTGATCGCAGTTGATAAGAGATGTCTACCCCCAAGCCTGCAAGTAGCGTAGAATTTATGTTAATTCACTTATCGTTTTTCTTCGTGTGGTGCGATACCAACATGATACATGTTTTTCTCTGTGATGCCCATCTTTTTCTTAATCGAAGAACTTATACCTTTAAATATCTTTTTCAGTCTTATTTTATCTTTGTTTCTTTTTTGCTATTTTTTAGTTTTGTATTTCCCGAGCAATGATAAGATAATGTCAGATCACAATAATCTTTGATATTGCCACACAAAGAGTAACAGATTATTCACAATTTACTCCCCGCCTTGTTTCATATGAATTCGGGAAATAAGTTCTTTCACTGAGGTGTGGTTAAGGCGAGGAAGACTGATTATGTTTATCATGAAAAAGACTTCTTTCTTTGGATGTTTCAGGCACGTCTTAAAAGAAACATCAATTAAAGATAAAATGTCAATAAAATCTGAGAGGAATTCCTGTCCTTAGTCAAATACAAAAGCAATCTATGTATTAGTCTTTCATTTGACCCCCGCGTTGAATGTCTTTCTATTTGTTTTATCTTAATTGATTTTATATTGTTAAAATATACGGTCAGCATGAACAGAGCCGGTCTAGAATCACGTATAACTGGTGTAGTTTTGATATTTAAACTACTCTAGACGGAAGTCAAGTAAAAATAAAAATAATGAACAAGGTGAGAAACTTCATTTACCTAACCTGGTGCATTCAACTACCTCTTAATTCATTCATTTGATCCACCATTCGTTCATTTATTTATCATTCCCATTATTGTCCATTCTTTTCCTGGATAATCCATTCATTTCAGTCTGTAKACCATTCTTTTTTATCATTCATTTGTTCGTTCAATCATCCACCATCTGGAATATCCAATCAAATGTTGACCTGCATGGCATGATGTCTAGTCTTTTGGTCTTATTCACATATTCCATCTTGTACTAATCGGCTAATTAGTGATACGATAATTAGTAAGATGTATACCTACCTGTATCAAGACTTGAACGGGTAACCTGCAAATGAGCCAACCCATATGAATAAAACAAGCTAAGATATAACAATTGAAAATAATGCTAAACGATCGCAAATTATGAACTTAAAATTATTGAATTTGGTCGTCTTCATCCTAATCATCCATCAGATAGACATGGCTTCTTCAAACGAATTAAGAATCATTATCGAACATTTTAGCTGTTTATTCATCTCTTTGATAGTCTTGCTACAACCCTTTCATCTCGTGGCTCATTTTACAATACATCAAGCACATTGCACCTACTTTTGAGTTCTCCTGTTCTTTTTACTGTTGTCTTCTTCGAAATAATGGAAATGACCATCACAGGTNTTTTGGTGTAGCCTGCTAATTGTTGTGAATGTAAGGATTAAAATCATTATGTTCTTAGGTTTATTTTCATATCTGACTGACCACATATTACAAGTATCATTGTCTTTTCCGCTGTGGGACTTTGAATATATCAATTTCCTCTAAAGAGTTGAAGTAAGGCTTCTAGAACCACTTCACATTATTGTCATGCTTCATAGGACTATGTAACCAATCCTTATTCTGGAAGGAAAGGTTCCATAGCACTACATTTCYTGCATYGGYTCTACTTGTTCTTGTTGTTGTTTGTGTTGTTGGAAGTCCATTATTTCATTATATACAAGATCTAAAAAGGGAAAGAAATTTAGAACTAAACTCAATAAAGCAAACAAYGTATTGTTAACTCACTCCTCCATTCCTCAACTGTTAGTTCTTTTTCTTCAAATGATTCATCAAATTTTTCACAAGTGGGCTGGAAATAGATTAAAAAGGCACAGTTATGTTAGCTCTTTACGAAATGGTAGAAAAATAAAACAATAAAAGGCAATAACATTTTTTGTGTGTTTGTTTTTTATGGGTGGATCATACCTCATCATTGGGGTCTGCGAATGTCGAAAGGTAAGGGTGACCCAATGCCTGTTCTGCAGAAATTCTCTCATCATTGTCAAGATCCAGCATCTTTTCTAACAAATCCACAGCTTTTGAAAGAGAAAATAACATTCAGTCATGGATGAAGTAAACAAACAGTTGTACATGTAATATATGTGTGTGGTATACCTAATGGATTTGCCCCAACAAAGTACTCAATGAATGGAGTCCTTTTGTAATCTGGCATTGATGCTATGTAACTTCTTGCCTAAAAATACAATTACCATTTAGCTAAAACATAAATAACAGTTTCATTGTAAAATGACTATACTTACAGAATCACTGACAATCTTTTTCAGGAATTCTGTAGATGGTTTGCCTACGAGCTTCATTATCTTTGTGAGTTGGTCAATATTTGGGATTAGTTAAGGGCAAAAAATATAGCAAATTAATATTACTCAAATTAACTTTATAT